ACGTGTAAATGACGTGTTAATCAAAGTAGTCACGGAACTAGTCACAGACGTGGCCGTGACTAAAGTTATCCGTACATAATACCGTTGCGCATTAAGTTAAGGGAGGGGAGAAATAAAATTTTAATCATAGTCACGGGTATAGTCACGGCCACATCCGTGACTAAGACGTCGGAATCAAATAAACTTCGCCGGAAACGGAAACGGGCCTATCGGAGGACTTAAGTCACGGGCCAAGACCGTGACTAATTGTAGTCACGGCCATAGTCACGGTCTTGACCGTGACTATTTTTTTTTTTTAAATTTCCGTGACTAGTCCGTGACTAGTCCGTGACTAAACTAGTCACGGACAAAATCCGTGACTACGGTCCGTGACTAAACGCGTGTTTTTTTGTAGTGAATATATAAGGTATATTATATAAGGTATATTATGCAAGACAAATATTCTTGACAAGAATTCTTTGCTCGGAACGCCATCTGGCCACCTCCGTTTGAGGTGCTTCCGTGTAAAATTTTTTGATTATATTTTGAGATAATGTTATACATGAAGTGTAGATTACATCCACCGTCTACATTTCACGAAAAATAAGCTCACAAAATTTGATCAAAAAATTCCATCCAGAAGCACCTCAAATAAATATTACTCATGCAATGTATAAAAAACTGGTTCCTGTCTAGGAACCGGAACAGAACTGGAACCGAATCGGAATCGAACCGATCATATACTATAGGAACCGAACCGAAAAAAGATGAAGTCCAAAATTATAGGAACCGAACCGGAAAATTCGGTTCGGTTCGGATCGGTTTTCCCGGTTTTACGGTTCCAAGTTACGGGCCTAAACCTAACTAGTTGTACACTCGTATTATACGGAGTATTACGGAGTACCTAGTTTTGCGCCTTTTGCTACTGTTTTGTTCTATAAAAACAGAAGAGACGAAAGTGGTGCACCAGGGGGTTAGACCTCCCGACCCACGAGCAGGACGCTTCTTAAAGACTCGGACCACCGGTGTTCTGATTCAATCTTTTAGAATATATTAATCGAAATAGATTAAAAATGTTCGAAAATTCCAACATTTTTATTCCCGAAATAGAACCAATTACTATCATATTTTGGCAGTGCCAAACATCAAACACGACAGTATTTTCCAAACCTGACATTAATTACTCATATTTTGGAATTAAAAAAATATGACAGTCATATTTTTGAATTTTTCAAACTGTTTTAGTCATATTTCGGGAACTTTCGTAGAGGATATTACTTGAAATAGGACTAAAACAATTTTTTTTGCATATCCTTTTAAACCTATTATATTATCTGCTCTAGTTAATGCCAACATCCTTGATCGGGATGGGACTCGAACCTGTGACCTCCTGTTTGGGAGATCAACGGTGATGCCATCAGACCACAAGGTACTTGGCTACTAAAACAATTTAAAAATTTGAAAATAGGACTGTCATATTTTTATTATTCCTAAAATAGAACTAATTACTTTGATGTTTTGACAGTACCAGACTTCAAACATGACAATATTTTTCAAACTTAGCAGTAATTACTCATGTTTTGAGAAAAAAACATGATAATTCTATTTTAGAATTTTTAAATTATTTTAGTCTTATTTTGGGAACTTTCCATACTTTTTTTGGGAAAGAACTTTTCATACTTTAAAAAGTACGTAGTATATCCTATCCTATATACCTAAAGGGAGAATCCCATCTCCCAAAAGTTTTCCCGCTTCTCTCTCATATAATTTAATAATTATTAAATTAAATTAAATGCTCTTGCTTTTGCTAACAGCCATTTTCTTTTTTTTCCCGTGATTTTCTTCTTCTTGGTTAAATCATCCGTTTCTTCAGTTTCAGTTTCTATGAAGTATCCGTCTCTTTCTTCTTGCTTTCTCGAGCGTTCATTCTCTCCCCCGCTCTTCTTTTACCGCCTTCGTCTCCTCTCCTATTCCTCTTTTCACGCAGATGCCAGCTCCAATTCAACCTGCACCGGAAACACCTCTTGCAATTTCCGTGGAAGATTGCTTCGTCTTCCGAAGACCACGTTCAAATCCGTAGGCTTTTAAAAGTTTTGCTTCATTCCTTTTTTATGCTAACTTTTAGTGTAAAACACAGTTTAGTTGAACTCACTCATTTTTAAGAGGCCGTTTGGAACTACTGTTTTTTGGCTTATCATTCTTATCACCCATTTTTTTCACCAAACACGCAATTTTTGCTTTCGCGTGCTGAATTGTGTAATAAGCAGAAAAAGTAAGGTTGGGGTTACTTTTCTGGCTTTATTGGCTGAAGTTACTGTAGATGATCATTTTATCTATTTTTACATATAATTTTTTCATTATTTTATTAATAATATATATTTGAAAAATAACTTTTTCTTGAATCAGCTGAATCAGCCAATGCAGCCACTTCAGCCAGAACTTCATAAATTTCAGCAGAATCAGCCAAATCAGCCAATTTTCGTGGTACCAAACGGGCTCTAAATCTTTCACACAAATGCTAAAACCTGACAAAGAACTATTGTTGAATCAAATTATGTTTTTCTTTTGATAAAAATTCCTTCCTTTTAGCTTGTGTACAATTCTAAAAAACAACTTTCCATATTTCAACTTTCATAAAGCAGCAGATTTATAGTCAAAAACTCTGTCTCAAGTCAATTCATATTGCTAAGATTTTCTATTCATTTTTTTGTTCATATAGTTTCATTTTTTGTAACAGGGATTTTAGTTATAACCCAGGCATATATCATTACTTTAGTCTGTGAGCAATCCAGGAACACAAAGCTGGAAAAACAGAATCATTTTTATTGCTATATGAGATACCGGTCATTGCTAAAGATCCAACTTTGAATCATTGCAAAAGAAATGCTACCAATGCAACTGCGGTTTTTAGGTTTCAAAGAACCATTTTCACCATCTATGTGAAACTTCATCATTATTGTGGTTTTGATTATATTTAGTTTCTTTTGCTTTCACCATCTCTATGGAGTTGAACTTATCAAACTTAGCTATTATCGGAAAGGTATGGCCGTATGGTTATGCTATTTATTGCAGCTTTATGATGGTATGAACAAATCCTGTTTGTTAGCTTGCAACAGGATTATGACCTATGTAGAGTAATCAAGCACTTTAAGTTTGTATTCTTATATTTTATATATCTCATGTGAGATGAAACGCAAAGCTGAAATTTCTCTGTGTTTTAAAATAGCATTATGATGATAAGAAAAAATATTAGTTATTAGCTTGCAGTTGATTATGACATATTTATTCTTAATAGTTGGTTTGTTGTTTTCCTTCTCACTTTATTTTTTGTTTGTTTTTTATTGCAGCTTTATGATGGTATGAACAAATACAGTTTGTTAGCTTTCAATAGGATTATGACCTATCCTAAAGTAATCAAGCACTTTTAGTTTTTGTTCTTCTATTTTATATATCACATGTTTGATCAAATGCAAATTAAAGCTGAAATTTCTACGCGTTTTAAAATAGCATTATGATGATAAGAACAAATATGAGTTGTTAGCTTGCAGATGATTTATTTCTTAATAGTTGGTTTGTTGTTTTCCTTCTCACGTAATTTTTTCTTTGTTTTTTATTGCAGCTTTATGATGGTATGAACAAATCCAGTTTGTTAGCTTGCAATAGGATTATGACCTATCCAAAAGTAATCAAAGCCTTTTGCTCTTTAAACTAAGCTTTATGATTCGTTTCAGTAGGCCTTTTTTGTTTCATTTTGAAAGCATTTCCATTAAAGTTTTATTTCAAGTTTTGGAGCCATTTCTAATCCATCTGTGTTTGACCTCACTCAGATATTAATGAAATCCATAATATGATGATTTGAACTAAAAGATTATGTGATTAATAAAAAAACTGCATATATCAAATTAGGGAAAAAGGTCCTCAATATATAAGCTGAATTTCTTTCTCTACTAAATACTATGTCCATTGATTTGTCCACTTTTTTCTTTCTACTTTTATAATAAGAAGACTCAAGATGAAACTTTAGCATGTATGAACTTGAAGTTTTGATGATCTTTTTGCTATTATGACATTTTTCTTGGGAATTCAGCATAGTTTGTTTTTACGAATACATATCGCCATAGAAGGTACATTCCATCTTTTCAGGTTACTTTTTTTCTTTCATTTTTTGAATGTATAATATGTTTATACTATTAGCAGTGTTTAAACTAATGTGGGCACTCTTAATTGTTAGGTAGGGATTGAAGTGTGTGAAGCTTCTTGATGGAGTCTCACTCAAGGGTCAGACTATGGAAATGGAAAACTGGGAATTTTATTTGGACTGACTTCTTTCGGCCCCAAAGAAAAACTTGCAGGCTCAGAGGTTTCTTATTTTTGTTATCTTCTTGTGATGCCATCTACTGGGAGGCAACTGAGGATGGAAATTTCTCCTATAGATCTACTTTTGAAGAGATAAGGAATGGTCTGCCTGCAAATTTTTCTTTTGCTCATAGTTGACATCCTTAACAAAAAATGAAAATAAAAATGTTACAATGGAAGATCTTGAATGGTATCCTTCCTATAACTGATAACCTGGGTAGGTTTCAATAGATGCGACATCCTTCTATGTGCCTTTTGTCAAAGAGTCAAAGTGACTTTATGAAACATCTTTTCTATTGCTATGAACATGGAGTTACTTCATGGGCATATTTGGTATCACTGCTCCCCCTAATTGCTCTATCAAACAAGTTTTGAGGTTATGGTGGCACAAATTTGGAAGCAACACACTGGTGGATTTATTTACAAAAAAAATCTCTCTGGTATTATTTGTTGGCATATTTGGAAAGCTTACTTTAAAGGCACATTTCCCTTTTTGGCAAACAAAACAGTGCCAAACAGTGTTCCTCCTAAATATGTTTGAAAACACAAATGTGCTCTTTATATTGGGGCAGAGGGAGTAATATCTAAATTTCTCATCCCGTGCAACGCACGGGTGGAATACTAGTACTACGTAATAATGTAATATAGATATTTTTTTGGAAGTACTTGGAGTCCGAGACCCCGTAGGACACAAGGTGGTCCGCCTCTGCTCATCCTTCACCCCTCCCGGCCGGCCACATGCTTCCCACCAACAATCCTCCTCGCTTAAAGGCTCCTGCATCTTGGATATCGATCTTCAGGATTATGTCGAGTGGTGTTTGATAGAGAAAGATTTGATCTTTGCGCGTTTGCAACCACCCATACCATACCCGATCTAATAATCCATTTACTCCATACAAAAAGTCAATTTGTGAGATAGTAGGAAAAACCAATCCTGAGAGAAGGAAAGCCTCTAGCTTTGCTTTAATTGTGATTACTCTCATCAATATTAGAGGCTTCATAAAGCTCAGGTTCACTCTTGGATCCGACCGACCTAAGAAGGCAAGCTCCTGAAAACTCTTGGATCCGACCGACGCAAGCTCCTGTAAGCCATGCTGGGAACAAAGAGGTAACTTCTCCCTGGTGGGTTCTGCTTGGTTTACTATACAGTGCCTTTTCTTCAAAAAAAGATTGGACCAGCCGACCAGGTGATGGCCCAATTTGCTTAAGAAAGCAGGCAGTTATGAGTTATAGTTCATAGTGGCTTCAGTTTTTCATATCTTTTGAATTTTTTGACCTATCGAACCCCTAACAGTGGATTTATTTCTGTGTAGATATTGTTTTGGAGCCTAAAGATTCATTCTTTGATGAGTGGGAATCGTGTCCTTCGTGATTCCAGGTTTCAACTAAAGAAGGTCAGCTCACAGAAAAAAAACTGCCGCCTTGTTGGCCTAAAAACTAAAAAAGACTTCTGTGTTTTTATTTTTGTTGGTTCACGCCAGTCTTTTCAATGTACCTCAAACTAACTTGTGCTTTTTAAAAAAACTGAGCCTTTTATTGGTTTGGGGGTAAAAAATCGGGCTTGTTGGGGGAAAAAACCAGCTCTTCAGTATGTGAATTTGGGTTATGATGGTAGGGTGAGGCATATTTGGGTGTGTCAAGAGTTATAATCGAACTTGTTATCTTTTAGGTTCAACATGGTTTGGCCCAGGGTGTGACATATGGCCTCAGTTTAGTACAGGGACGCAATGCTGAATTCTCTTATATTTGTTTTGTTGGGTGTTACAGTGTGCTGCTCAGAGATTGGACATTAATGATCGGATAAGTCACCTTCCGGATGACATTCTCGGTGTGATATTGTCTTCCCTTCCGTTGAAGGAAGCTGGGCGCACGAGTGTTCTTTCATCTCGTTGGAAGAACTTGTGGAAACAAACCCCGCGCCTCAATTTTAATGCGTGCAATGAATTGGACAGGATTGCTCGTGATGGAAAGCTACGCTGTGTGGAGAGGTGCAAGTACGTAAGATGGGTGAACTCTGTCCTGAAATCTGTACCACGCAAAGCGGCGCTCACCTTGGAACACTTCAGGATCTGTTTTGATGTTGGAAAAGCATTCTCTGGGACCATTACGAAGTGGCTTAAATTTGCTTTTAAGAGACAGGTTGAGAGGTTGGAGTTGAACCTTTTGGAATATGGCGATCACGCATCAGAGAAATCGTATGTCTTCCCTGAAGACATCTTGTTCCAAAACAGCAGTGACTTCCCTCACCAAACTACTACACCTTTCAACTTCCATTCTTTGAAAGCGTTGTGTTTGAAGAATGTTTCGATCAGTGACAAAGCTATTGAGTTTTTGTTGCGCAACTGCCCTTCACTGGAGCAATTAGATCTTCAAGACATATATACATTATCAAATCTTGAAGTTTGTGGTCCATCCCTCGTGTTAAAAAACCTGTCTGCACGGTATTGCTATGATTTGGTATCCATTAAAGTATCTGCACCGAACCTTACTTCACTTGCGGTTTCGACACCAAAAGGACTCGTGCTTGAGAATGTTCCAATGTTGGTCGATTTAAATATTAGCTGTCGGGAAGCTCACATCCCATTGTTAGTTCCTACACTATCTTGTTGCTTTTCCCAATTGGAGATTCTTACCCTGCGGCTGCCAATTTATGAGGTGGCACCCCATCAGTACATTTGCTACTATACAAAAGTAATATTATAGATGTTATTTGTTCTTTACAGTTGATTACCATTTTTCTTGCAGGTATATGATATTGTGCGGTTCAACTTCCCTGAGATGGTTGAGTTGAAGAAGGTGGTTGTAAGTTATGCTGGAAACCATGATGAAAGTCTTCTTGGGCTAATGACATTCATTAGGATATCTCCCAAACTAGAAGAGTTTGTGTTGAAGGTGGGTGGATCAACTACTTTTGCGTTATCATTTGGCTTTTGGTTCAAGTCTTTTTCCTTTTTCCTATAATCATAGTTTTATGGTTTTGTGGTTTTCTTATAATCAGTGTTTTGGACTTTTGGTTTTGTCTTATTTAAATGATTCTCGAATTTTTCTGTTTGCATGTTGTCTTTCTGTTTCATCGTGTATAGGAGAAAGAGACAGGCATATGAAATCATTGTTCATTTTATTTCACGTGCAGAATAGATGGTGCGATGGATTGTCACGGGCTCGCAGAGAACTGAATAAGGGGGCACCATTTCGACACCAAAACCTTAAGGTGTTCCAGTATTTAGGCTATTACGGCCGCTGCAGTGATATGGAAGTAGTGGTGTTCATTTTGGAAAACTGTATTGGGCTTCAACAAATCATTATCGATCCAACCGTGCAGACCGATTTTTTGCACGAGCCACTAGATCCCGGTGAGTTGGAACAGGAAGAAGTTGGCAGAAGTTATGCGAAGGAACAGCTGAAACCAATAATCCCTCCCCACATTCAATTTGTTATCCGATAGATTCTTTGCTGCTGCTGCTGGTGTACACCACACGTCACCAGCCATCTGGTGGACTAAAGTTATTTGTGCAATTGGTGTTCAGCTCTGTGTACTTTTTGTATCAAGGAATAATTGGCATTCAAAGCTTGATTGAAATTCACTTATATTCATCAAGGAGCAGATAGGGAGAATATTCTTGCGCAATTGGTATTCACTTGTATTGCTAGTGTCTTAGATATTTGAGTTTTCAACATTTCAAGATAGGGAGAATTTGCCCAGGGTAGTGCTGCAGCTTAGTTGCTCTTTCTTGCTGTCAACTCTTTGTTGAACCCAAACGTAGCATAATTTTCTACTACGTACTCCATAATTTAAATAGATTTAGTGATTCAGCTGCTTGTGAATCAGAATTTCAATAAGTTCAATCAATTCAGGCAATTTTGATGTTATAAAATAAGCTCATATTTTGAAAGTTGAAACTATGAGTTTAGCTGCGATCCATGGTGGATAATGAGTTGGATTGATTGAAAATATATATTATAGCAGAAATTTGGAAAAATTGTGAAAATATATACTCCTTAACATCCTCCACAGTCCACAAAGGACTAAACAAATGCTTAAAGGGAGTGTTTGCAATGAATTAAAAAAATGTTTTTCAGATTTTAACATAAAAAAGCTAAAATTAGCATTTTCAAGTGACATTTCTGTTTAATTAAATAATCATCTAAAAATAGATTCTTCCATTGCCCTTTTCATCTTCTCCCTCACCGCAGACATCAGTCCTTCACTCCTTCACTCTGTTTCTCACAATCTCAGTCCATTCGCACATGAAAATGATATCAACGCCTCTTCTCTTCTTCGGTAATTCTAGATTCGCGATTCAAAGAACTCTTTTACAACAGCCCAAACAAAACCCATGTTTTCCTTCTCGGGCGGGCGTAAACAGATTCAGCAAAATAGTTTGCTTTGCTGTTGAGTGCACCATGGAGAAACGACAAGCGGGAGGCGATGGTCGATGGAAGCAACAATGGATTTGGCTCAGATGGTGAAGACAAACTCTAAGTAAATGGCAAGTATTTACACCATCCTTCGGTTTCTAATTTCTGATTGTTCCTTACATTTTCATTATTCTCAATTTCAATATACCTTTTCTCTTCTCAATTTCAAGATAAAGATTACAAGTCAGTTTATCTTTCCTCATTCTACTTGACAATTGACGCCATTGAGATTTAATATTGAGTTTTCTTACAACTAATTGATTTATTTGAATTATTGTTGATTATGTTTTTGGTTATTATCAGCATTTTCAATAGTAGAGCTTCTTGCTGCTTCTGGGCACTGGAGCATGTTTGGTTTACTACTATGACAGGGAAAAGAAGCGGCATATTGAAGGTAGATTGCTATGGTGAGTTAGGGTATTGATGGTCCTAAGTGTACCACCGTAGCATTGGCCAAATTAATACTCCCTCTGTCTATTTCCTTTTTGGGATGTCCTAAAATGATGATCTTGTTTCCCTTTTTGGTATAGAGCTAAAAGTGGATTACCATTTATACACCTCTTTTTTAATGAATAGTAAAATCAAAAGGATGGACAGTACAATGAAGTAAGGTTCTTTAGTCTTTATACCACACTTTCTTAATCTTTGTGCTCAAAAGAAACAGGATCATCAAATTGGGACGGAGGGAGTACATATTACTTTACTGTTTGCTTGAGTTCTTATCCTATGCAATTGGTATGGAGTACTTAATTACTTATGATTCTGAAAAATGCTTTACTATGGGCTGATGATTACATTTTAATTATTATTATTATTATTATTATTATTATTATTATTATTATTATTATTATTATTATTATTATTATTATTATTATTATTATTATTATTATTATTATTATTATTATTATTATTATTATTATTATTATTATTATTATTATTATTATTATTATTATTATTATTATTATTATTATTATTATTATTATTATTATTATTATTATTATTATTATTATTATTATTATTATTATTATTATTATTATTATTATTATTATTATTATTATTATTATTATTATTATTATTATTATTATTATTATTATTATTATTATTATTATTATTATTATTATTATTATTATTATTATTATTATTATTATTATTATTATTATTATTATTATTATTATTATTATTATTATTATTATTATTATTATTATTATTATTATTATTATTATTATTATTATTATTATTATTATTATTATTATTATTATTATTATTATTATTATTATTATTATTATTATTATTATTATTATTATTATTATTATTATTATTATTATTATTATTATTATTATTATTATTATTATTATTATTATTATTATTATTATTATTATTATTATTATTATTATTATTATTATTATTATTATTATTATTATTATTATTATTATTATTATTATTATTATTATTATTATTATTATTATTATTATTATTATTATTATTATTATTATTATTATTATTATTATTATTATTATTATTATTATTATTGTTATTATTGTTATTATTGTTATTATTGTTATTATTGTTATTATTGTTATTATTGTTATTATTGTTATTATTGTTATTATTGTTGTTGTTGTTGTTGTTGTTGTTGTTGTTGTTGTTATTATTGTTGTTGTTGTTATTATTATTATTATTATTATTATTATTATTATTACTACTACTACTACTTCTACGCCGTATTATTATTATATTATTGAAATTGCTCATAATAGACAAAACTCACCAGTTCAAAACTCAAGATGCATTTGGATGTGTAGGTTAAAAAATATTTGTTGATTGCTAAAAAAAGCTCAAGACTGTTTTATATGCTATAAAAGATCACAATGAATAAACATGTTTAAACTGGGAAGTACGTTTCAATTATTGTGTGTTAAATATGTGTTTGATCTGTTTCTTATTCATTTGAATCCAGTTAAATGGTGAAGTTAAAATTAACTTAATTGTTTACTCATTTCAGTTCTGTTGGGTTTTATTTCTTTTTTCTCTTTTTGTATCATAAAAATGATTAAAACTTTTATTTATATTTTCCCAAAATATTACAGAGTGTTATGCACTGCAATGTTTTAAAAGATTACTATGAACGGCCATCTTTAAGCTTAGAAGTACATTTCAATTTTTGTATGGTTAGTATGTTTCTGATGTGTTTCTTAATTATTCATTCTAATCAGTAAAACTTTTCAAATTGAAGTAAACCACAATGTTTACTCGTTCCATTTTTTTGGGTATTGTTTCTTCGTTCTCATTTTTGGATGATAAATATGAATAATAGCATCTGGCAGGAAAGAAGTATGTTGTGTACGACCCGGGGGAAGAGGGATTTGTGGTACTCCGAGCAAGTAATGAATTACCGGGAGGAAGGTCATAGCCGTACTCGGTAGGCGGCAACAGTATAGTCCGTTATTTGGGAGAATGAATAAGACAATCAGTTATTGGGTCATAGTATCTGTTGGGTTTTTTAATTCAGTTGGGCTGGTCTATTCCAATTGTATTTAAAACTATCTGCTCGGTGTTTTATTTTAAACATACTATATAAACTGTACGTATGAAAGGGTGGAAAGTAAGCAGAATTATAAATACATTTCTCTTAGCTTTATCTCTTCCTTCTTCTTCCTTAATTATTCATTCTAATCAGTAAAACTTTTCAAATTGAAGTAAACCGCAATGTTTACTCGTTCCATTTTTTTGGGTATTGTTTCTTCGTTCTCATTTTCGGATGATAAATATGAATAATAGCATCTGGCAGGAAAGAAGTACTGTTGGAATAATTCCTTTTCCTGTGTTCAATATATCTAATTAAGACCCCAACTTTTTTCCTTTTTTGAATATATATCTAATTAAGACCCCAACTTCATTAGGGTTCCAACTATATCAATGATTTAGAGCATTGATAAGTTCGTATTTCAACACGTATTTGATGTGTGTTGGGGTCGGATTTTATTGGTTTTCCTTGCTTTAAGGCGTTGCAAGTCTCAATTTTAGCTCAAGTTGTGATTACCAGGCGTTGGGTCGAGTTTTGTTGCATTTGGAGTCAAATTGAAGAAGTTAGAGAAAGGCATCGGCGCTTGAAGAGGCAATCGGGAAGAGTTTGAAAGCATTCGAAAGAGATTTGAGAGATTTGGAGGTCACCAGGACGTTCACGAAGAAATTCTGATAAAGAAAGACCATTTGGATCGACCTCATATGCATCCGGGAGCATTTGGAGCAAGAAACGGCGAGAAACAGTGAAGAAAAGGCCAGGCACGATCGCGTCCTGGCTGAGGCACGATCGTGCCTCTATATGAGACGCGCATATGCTCCGCAGGCACGGTCCCAGGCACGATCGTGCCTGGCGTCGTCAATGACCCCGATTTGTCCTAATTCAACTCAAATTCATCTTTTTCTATAAATAAGGCCTTTCTAACCCTTTTGAGGGGTTACAAACATTACGGAGAGGCCTAGGGAAGAATTTACTTGCCTTTTCATGTTGTTTTCTTGAAGAACCTTGGGATTATTTGTAAATTCATCTTTTTAATTAATGACGATTAATTCTATTCTTTCCAATTCTATTGAGTCTTCAATTATGAATTGTGAGTAGTTTAATTAGGGATTTGGGGTGGATGAATGGGTTGATCATGATGTATGGCTAGATTCTTGATAGTTTAATTGCATGAATGCCGTTTAATTTGTGTTTGAATAATTTAACTGATATCTCTTGTAACCTAAATGGCCACTAGAATTATAATTACATGCAGAATGAATTAAGAGAGATCTAGTTTATTCTAAGACACATTCACACACACTTAATCGTTCGCTAAGAGATTAGTAGTGATCAAGGGGCCGTAAGCTCGCTCATCTTGGCAATAATTTAGGATCTTGTCACATGAGAGATCAGTCTGGTCCCCTAAATTATTGTAGTCTACGCCACGAGAGCGGTAAGAACTTAGTAATGATTAGCTACGCTTAATTAAATTAATTTCATGTAATTAGGCCTATTCTGCCAGAAATCTGGTTACCCCGAAATCAATCCATGTTCCCTTCGTCGTTAATTAGAAAGAAACCAAGCTTTTATTTTATCGTTCATTCGCATTAGTTTAATTTTAATTTACAATCAATCTCACACACTTGCATTTTTATTTTATTTATTTTCTTTTTAATTGTTGAATTTAGTTAATTCTTGATTCCTTTTTTCCGTCTCTGTGGAGACGATACTCGTACTTTTCACCACTATAATACATCATTTTTAAGTGTGAGAAAACTCACATCAAGCAATCTCACATATTTCAAACCCATGATTTTAAACAGTCCAATGTAACATTACCCACCAATTTAAATGTAATATCATTTCCTTTTTTATATGATATTTTTTCTTGCCCGTTTGGTTTTTGTCAGAATTATCTATTTGTTTCTATTTTTAGTTATTTTTTCTATTTGACTTCATTTCATTTTCAATTTCCATTTGTTTCCTTATGCAGTGTATTCACAATCTTATTTAATTGGAAAAGATGGCATCTAATTCATTGACTCTTTCACTTCAACTTTTCAAAAAAATAATCATCCAAGTTTATACTACGTATATAATTGGGGGTGGAAGATTTCATGTGTACACAATATTATTAAAACGTGTAATCTTGATTATCTAATACTACCACTATCCCAAAAAAATTTGTTATTTCATAAAATTTGGACTCTGATTTTGATTTGTATAATATTATGAAAGTTATGAATTTTATACCCCTCTCAGATAGCTATTGCATTGGATGCAGTCTCAACACCTTATATCAGTTAATTGGATGTGATCTTCTCAGATGGTTGCTTTTTGTTATTTACTTGTTTCCGGATTTGGGTCAGGTTTATGCCCCTCAAATCTTCCCATTCACTTACTTCATTACTTGGTAATTTTGGGAGGAATGCTTCTTTGAAGGTTTTGGTCTGGTCCCCCACTTCAATTGTATTCCTTTATTTGCTTAATAAAATTCTGGTAAATGTCCCCCGGCATTTACCCCACCGATGGGTGGTTGACCTTCGGGGGTAAAAAAAAGTTATAAATTTTATACTCCGTACTTCTATGAAAGCACTTTTAACAAATTAAAGAACATTTTTATATTGTAAATCATATCCAATAAAAAGATATAGTTCGTCAAAGTTTAAAATTGACAAAGTTTTTTGGAGAGGGGGTAGTAGAGGAATGCTCAGGTCCATCCGGAGGGACGGGAGGTGCCGTCCGAACTTTACTGTTTGGGGTAGTTCCCGATGGAATTTTTGATGAAATTTTTTGAGTATGTTCTTCATCAAGTCTAGTTTATCCATACCAAATTTCAGCTCAAAATTTGATCGGAAAGGCATTCAAATAAATTCTTGAAAATGCACATTCTGCGCACATATAATGTGCTATATGTTTCAAGAATTTACTTGAATGTCTTCCCAATCGAATTTTGAGCTGAAATTTGGTATGGATAAACTAGACTTGATGAGGACCCTGCTAAAAACATTTCTTCAAAAAATTCCACCGGGAACCGCTTTAAACAGTAAAGTTCGGACGGAGCCTCCCGTCCCTCCGGATGGACCTGAGCATTGCTCGGGGGTAGTATATGTTTAGTAATATTGACATATTTGAGCGTTAGCAACCATTACGTTGGGTATGCAATGACACTTTTTTATCATGCTGCTAACTGATTTGGTGATTATTTTGATTGAAACAAAGTATGTTATTATCTTGATTTTCTATTCTCATACGGAGTATTTTATTTCTGCAATTCAGATTGGAATATTGGATCGCTTCAGCAAAAGGACTGCTTTTCAGATAACCCAACCAATAACTAGTATGTAATTAACACAAAGTTGAAGGTAAGAATACTTGATACTCTTATATTGCAATTTGCTTTTTTCTGCTAGGGAAACATTCAGCTAGTCCAGGTGATCAAACAGTTTCATCTGCTGCTACGCCCGCTAGATTTCCTGACCACCTATATGTCAGAGGTATACTTTGAACTTCAAATTTCTTCCTAATCAGTTTTCGCAACGCTGAGTTTTATTTCCCTGCTATCTTTCAATTAATTGATTAAACAGAGAGCATATTGTATGTTTTGATGAATTTTCCAGGCTATGGAATTAACATATCCATGGTCTTCTTTCTCTATCCCGCTGTTCATCCTCATCTCTTTTCTTTGTTTTAATTTTTCAACAAGGTGACTTAATCTTAATTCAGTCAACAAGCTATGGTAAATTTGTTCTTCCTAATTCAGTCAATGAGTTTTAGTCCAAATTACACCCTATTAAAGGATATGATTGTTTTGTTAAGACTTAACTTTTGATTTAGCATTTATTATGTTTTAGTCTGCACTAGACTGTTTTTAGTTTGTTTAAAGTTTTCAAAAACATCATCATAATTAAAAAGTGTACACTTTTTAAAACTAATTTCATTCAAATTGGATGATGATTATATATGTATGTCAGAGGTTACTTTTGAAATTCAAATTGGGTGATGAGTGTTTCTTATGGTGGCTAATTATTGATTATGTGTCGTTTATCCGCTGTTGTTGCTTTACTTTCTGAGCCAAAACCAAAAATCGATTATGTATTGAGGGCTGTTGGTGGAAGCTGGACCCCAAAAGAAATTGAGTTCAAAACTTCAAATTGCTGCCAAAACTCGATGTGCTTAAAGTAAAAGGAGTCGTTTGTACCTTTTGGCCTTCAAACGCGTTTCACTTTGTAAATATAATGGCGTTTTGAATGAACAGCCAAAATCCAAACACAACCAAAGGCCAGAAGGGTAGATGTACTATTTCAATTAAGGTGTTGTGTTATGAGTTCAACAAGGAAGAACGGGAAGCTTCCCTGGAGGAAGAGAAGAGGGGTCTTAGAAGAAAGGAAGAAGCTGAAAACGGATGGGGTGATAGGGACCACATTGGACATCCTAGACGGGGCGACATCACTTGTGAGCAGCAGCATAGATGTTGGTGTTGAGGTAGTCAGTAGTGGCTGTGGAACCGTTGACAGCAGCACCTCATCCCTCAACATGGTGAATCCACCTGTTCAAGAAAATGGTGGCTCTAAGCACTTTAGAGAACCAAATATCTGTTATGTCACACTACTATGATTTATACATTATGTTCTGATTTTTCAAGTGTGTTGGTTTGCTCTCCACCCAACATTATATAATATTTGCTCATCTTCCTGTAAATTCTGATTTTGTGTTTTTAAGTCTCTAATGTCTCATCTTATTGAGGTGTTGTTTATCAAGTGTATTGATCATAAACTCATCGCAATAAATTTGTATAACTTGCTAGCTAAAAAAAGTAACACATGAACTAGAACAAGGCTTTTATTGATTTTAACTTTTCATTAGAAATAATGACAAGGAAGATCACGAGCTTTTCATTTTACAAATATAATACTTCATTCCCGTATGGACAGAAAAGAGAGCAAAAAACACTTCAAAGACCAAAATGCCCTTAAATCTAAAATTTGCATCTCAATTTCGTCTCTTGGCATCGCAGATTCGCAGCCCCAGTACTCTTCCGCATCGCAGCCCCAGTACTCTTTCGCATCGCAGGTCTCCTTCGAAGAACCCCTCATTGCCACCAACCGGAACATCTCCGCCACCATCACCACGTGCCTTAACGGATCTCGCCATTGCCCTACACCACTCGATCTTCTTCTTTTTCTTTCCGACAGTGGAGACAAACACAACTTCTCATCTGGCGAATGTGAGAGAAAGGGTTGGGACCAGGCTTTAGGAAGGCGTAGACAGGAGTGGAGCAGGGTTTGTGGGTGAGGCGCGGGGATGAGAGGCTGGGGAGGGGGGGGGGGGGAGGGGGTTGGATCTGGACTGGGACTGGAGATGCTCATGAAATGTGCAGAGGTCTAGTTTATCTAAGTCCAGGTGCTGTCTCAGGTTCTTCACAGTTCTCTTCCACTCAGGATGCAAGCTCGACAGGAAACGTATATTCATCTCCATATTTGACTTGACAACTTTGATCTTTCTCATCTCGTTAATCAGTTGCACAAATCTGTTATACGTTTCATGGAGCGCCTCTCCCGGTGTAGCTTTGAATGCGTCGTAAGCAGTCAGTATGTGATATGAAGCGGGAAGAGCATGGGGCGGGACGGGCTTGAGCCCACCTTCGTGGGCTGGCTGCGAGCAATTTAATTAATTTAAATTATTCCTTTTATTTTGTTTCCTAATTTATTTTGTTTCCTAGTATGATTTAATTAGGACTTCTATTAATTAGAGGTTTCCTAATTCTATTTAGTTTCCTTGAATGGTTTAATTAGGACTCCTATTATGTTTCTTACTAGGATTTAGTTTCCTATTCTGTTTTGGATGTAAGGGTTATATAAACCCCTGCCTAGGCTTATTCAAGTCAAGCATTAATAATATTGGTTTTAGCTATTTAGCTCTGGGCAACGGATCCAGCCGTTGATTATTTTGGGCAACGGGTTACCCCGTTGATTTTATTTTTCTGTTCTTATCAGTATGTTTGCCTTCTTTGTTTTCAAACCCACATCAGTTCCAATCATCAGTTTCTTTACTTCGTCGTCCCACATCTCCTTAGCTGTTTGCATGCTATCAATCAGAATGTAGATGTCGTTAGGAATAGCTTGGAGTAGGTACGTTTTGGCCATTAGATCTGCCTTGATTCTTAGCCTGTCTACTTCAGTGTACTCAGACTTTGCTTTCAATCTTCTTCCTTCATTGACAGGAGGATTATTTACATCATCAGAATTGACTTCCATCCATATCTGTGCTGGTCCTTCAATGAGTGATTCCAGCATTGAAGATGAGTTGTCCTTTCCTTCAAGAAAGTTCAAGAATCGTGTTCTGCACATTTGGTACTCTCCTCTCCTCAAGATTGGAGGTCTGTTTTCATTTCCAAGTGCTAATGTTCCATCTTTTGCTGTTTAACCTTTTAAAAGACCGTTCGAGTGATTTGATCAGAAAAGTTACAGTACAGAATATCGAAAACCTAGTTCAGGATGTAGTTCGAGAAGAAGAGTTCGAGAAGCTGTATCGAGAAGCAGTTTTCGATATAAGATATCGAAAACCTTGCTTTGAAAAGCTGATTCGAGAAGTAGCTATCATGAACTTCAGTATCGAGAACCTAAGTTCGAGAACTTAGTTTCAAGAACTGAGTATCGAGAAGCCGTTTTCGAGAACCTGCAAATTCGAAAAAAACAAGGTATCTAGAACTTAATATCGAAAACTGAGTATCGAGAAGTGCAACTCGAGAACTCAGTTCGAGAACCAGTATCGAGAACGCAGTATCGAAATCCTGCAAATCAAAAAAATCAATTTTAACTAGTTTAAACAACTTTTCTATAGAGCTTTCAATCTCAAGATCCTTCCTATGCAATTTTCAACTTCAGAAAACCTGTTTAGATGTCGAGAACCCTACTTTTCGACATTACAATATCGAGAACTTCAAAATTTCAAGTTTACTGAAATCGAAGATTAAGTTATACTCTTGGTTCATTTTTGACTGGCAAATCCAATGGTATAACTTTTACAGATTATCGATCAAAAACAAGATTACAAGGCTTAAAACAGAGAAATATCGAAAAGCATAAAAACAGAGGTCTTCGAAAACTCTTTCTTCGACGATCACACTCGAGCATGCTCTGATACCAGTTGTTGGTCTCAGATTTGCTGTAGACTAACGATTAGCTGGTATTCGGCGATTAACAGAAAAGAAGAAGATCATATAATGATAAGGCAATATCGAGAACGATGAAATTCTTCTTTCTATTATATCGAGAACAGATTTGGCAGCGTAAGGCTAGAATGTATATTGATCGACTTCCTTGGTACCTGTGCAGGACGCGCATATTAATAGGCGCTGCACAGGTTTCCGAATTAGGTTACCTAGGAGTTTGGACCTAAAGCCTTTTTGGGCCTTATTCCCTTACTCCTATTTATTACATAATAGAACTAATACCGTAAATGGTATGTCTATTCTAATTTATTTAAACAAGACATTACAGACAAACTTGACTCACAATAAAAGTTCTAACAGTACATCTTCAATCATGTCTCAAAAAAGATTGAGTGGATTAGTCATTATGTTATCAATTGAGAAAGAATTCATTGATAACATAGATTATGTAGACTTGATTAATACATTTGCATCTAAAAATATTCAACAAGTTGCACTTAATTAATTTTTAATACATGCAATGTCGTTTTGTAATAATGTAAGATTTTAATTAAAGAATTGTGTTTTTGTTATATTTACTCATTGGATTTCAATGACTATATGACAAAAAAACATTAAGTATAGGGCCCATTTATGAAGCTCGACTCAGCCCCGAGTTTATGTAGGACTGGCAGTGATCAGGGGCGGATCTAGCTATAGGCCAGGTAGGGCCTAAGCCCAACCTCAAAAAATATAAATTTACTAGTATATATATGTATTATACTAATTTGTAGTGTTGTCAAATACGGTATAATAAGAAAGAAAGTCAAAATAAACATAAAATCCGTATAAGCAAGATGGAAGTATACTCCCGTGTTGGCTTGCATGTCCTGAGTTCGTATCCTAGGTACATAATTTCTTTTTAACTTTTCAATATAATGGTAGAGCTTAGTGTGTAAACATTTCATTTTATTTTTACTTCTAAAGTCTCTTTGTCTCACACTGAAAGAATAAAAGGATTCTTCCTTCAAACATATATATTTAAAGAAACAATAACATAAATATGACCAAAATAAAGATGATTAACAAAAATATGACTAGTGACTAGAGTAGTAATGAAATCATAGTAATTCATGTTCAAGTTTTGAGGTTAAGTTACCACAACACCACATTGTAGTAATGAATAGTCATATTTATGTAAATATGTTTTATTTTAGTAATATTCTTGTAAAAAACCCATATTTAAACTTGGTCTCCTAAGTTTAGTTAATAGAAGCTTAACACCCATCTCGATCAAATAGTGAATGAGCTAAATAGTAATATCGTGAACGATATTGGGCTTTTGAATATTAGTTTGAAAAATTAATTTGGTCTATTCATTGGGCTTGGTAGGTGAAAGTTAGTTTAATATGTATGCATTTGAGGTGTTTTTGTATTCGACAAAAAGTCTTATTCCTGTTATGTTTTTTTTCTTTGACATTTATGTTGCAAAAGATTTTATTTTATACATAGTATTTGAAAATATATTTTGTTAAATAACATACTAGTACTATTTTACTACGTTTTGACATATTTTGCAATATACGTTGTTTAATCAAATTTTAGCCCCACCTGATTGAAAATGTTGGATCCTCCTCTGGCAGTGATGCTTCAAAACGTGATGAAGTGAGCACTCTGTTGTCCGTAACAAGCAAGTTGGTCAGGTGGGGCATTCTCAAAAGCTTCTTTGCGCAAAATTACAGTTTTCCCAAGGCATGAAGAACAACAACAAATGCTATGAAGCAAGCCAATGATGATGAGTCATGACGAGTACGAAATTGGGCGAAATCTTCAACCCCAGAGCATCATTGGTGTAGAATTGGAGCACATATTCCCGCTGTCAGCTCCGGCAGAACTGCTGCCGCCAGATCCGGCAGAACTTCCACCATCTGCAATCGCTTCCCCATCCGATTTTTACAACATAGGTGATAGGTGAGAACTTGCTTAATAATAGAGGGGAGCTTCACTAAAAACCCATATATAAATAATGATACACTTTTACTATCTACTATTCTTGCCACCGCAAGAGCTTGTAGTATTATTCTTTATTAATAGTCATTCACAATCTATTCATATATAATGCTTTTTTTACTTGTAAATTTTCATACGATTTGGGTCTTCCTTTTACCCACAAATTACACTATATAATTAAAATTAGGGAGATTTATAACTCTAGCCACACAACTTTTGACTATGCATGTTATTAATTAATACTCTAACTATACTCACTTGCAAATTTGATCCTACATTCATTATATTTAAAAATATCTTATTAATAGAAATACATACAGAGTATATAAAGTACGTGCAGACGTGCAGTACCATTTTCAACAAATTCGGATATATATTTGGTAAACCAGTTTCTTTATTGGAGTTTTTTCATAATGGGCAATATGTTTCAAGTAATTAAGTATGCTCTCAAGTCTCAACAATGAAAAAGAACTTTCTTTCTACCTAATGGTGCATAAATTTTTTAATGCCTACTCTAATCTCTAAGACAAAATAAAGAAAAAACAAAACCATTACAATGTCTCTCAACCCACACCAATGACTTGATGATACAACCAAATAAGAAATTTCTCACCTTTGAATCTCAATTTCACGAAATGCATGTCCATACTT